TTGATAAAGAGAGATTTCTAAACTCCTTATCCAGAAGCAAACTTCTCCTCCTTCCAAAAAGCTATAGTGTAAACACTTGAAGGTTTCCTTGCCTCAAGCACCACACCACGTTGAAGGATATTACTTTTGATCAAACTTATTGATTAAAAGGGGGTAGGTCAACTCTCTTACAAGTTGATCTTGCAAGTCCTATTGTTCGGATCTTGCAGTTGTTGAAGAAGCTTGACCTTCGAAGGAACAACAAAGCCAGCACGAGTGCAGTAGCAACATTGGTCTTGTGAAGATATACCGTGCAGAAATTCACACAAGTGTAACTGTTGGTTCATTATTCAACAACCAACTACATAGTGGATTTTGAGGACGTAGAAGGATTACCCCACCTTCGAACCTCGTTAAAGTTTGCGTGTCTCTCTCTCTTATCTTTATTCTTACTTGCAATTATATTAACTGTGAAAACTAACCTATCCATATTAATTACTGCTCACTCCACCCACCAAATTCCGCACACAATCTAAAGTTTACAAGGACTCTAGATTAACACTCATTTTCTCGTTTTCAAAAGAAGCGAAAAAGATTTTAAACTTGTAACAAAGTCTATTCACCCCCCCCCCCCCCTCTAGACTTTGTATTTCACCCCTTTGGGACCACCAGTTTTAAATTTCAAACAATATGGGTGAGAATTTAAAGGTTCAATTCTTCTTGACAAAACAATCGATGACTATTTTAATTGTTCTTCTCTCTGCAATTACTAATTTTCCTACGTACTTATAATTATTCAATATGTTGCTTGAGGGCAAGCAACGTTTAAGTGTGAAGAATTTGATAAGTCCGTTTCGTTCTTATCGTTTACATCATATTCTAAACGTTATTGCACGTAAGTAGTACTTAATCATCTTATAAATTGTGTTTTCAATAAGTAAAACTCTCCGTTTTCGTTCTAAGAGTTGTAAAAGGGGATTCCACATGAAATCATCAGAAATCATCCATTTTATGATCAAATGCTTGAGGAAAAGGGAATAAATATGTAAGGATTAAGATTCAGGCTTGAACAAGTTTCTAGGAGGCCAAAATTGGCGTTTGGGCCAAAAAGAAGCGAAATAGGGCCAAAATCTCGTATTAGCTGCGAAGCCCAACGGACCAAAGGCTTGAGGCGTCCAACTTGGATGCCCTTGGCCAAGTTGGATGCTTTGACTTGGACACCTGGCATAAATTGCGCTCCAAGAATGACACGTGGTTGAACCTGGTTGGCCGGAATAGCTCAAGCGTCCTGATTTGGACGCCTAGACTTGGACGCTTCTACATGGACGCCTTAGACTCTATCCTATAAATACAGTGCGATTCACCCCATTCCAATATCACTTCTCATTCCCAACTTTTGGATTTGAACCCACTGTTCTGTTCTTTTAGTCTAAATTATTGTAGAAATAGTTTTAAAGTATTTTTCGGAGAATTTCTGCTCCAGTTCTTTTCTACTCCGCTTTTACGGAAGTTGTAAGTTCCCTTTATTTAATAAAATGCTATTTTAATTTATGTTTGCATAGTATGAGTTAGGGTTCGGACCACTAGGTCTGTACTAGTTTGGTTGTATACTTTGAATGTTAAATTAATGTTGGAATGGTTAGTCTATTGTTCTTGCCTTATTTAGTTAATTAATCCCGAAAGATTTAATTTGCTAATTATTGAGAAAATAATGTATGCCAAGGGGCTATGATGTTCAAGTGCAACGGATTGAGTACAAATCTAGAAATGGATGAATAATAATAGAAATATTATTATTCCAACTGTTAATTAAATATGATAAAATAAATCTAAATGATGTCGAGACCCTAAGTCTAAATTTACACTTATACTATGTAAAATTTATTTATTATTATTCTGCCTAATAACTCTCTCCTAACCTTCGCCTAATTAGAGAAATTAACTAATTCTCTTCGTCCACTCCTCGAGAGACACGACACTCAGAGAGAAAACTTACGCTTTACTGGGAAGGTTTACTTCTCGAAAAACTACAATTATGAATGTTGCTAGGAAGCTTCCTTATGTTCACATTCATTGTATTGTGTATTATTTTCCCCTCCCCCTATACAATGTAGCCTTAAGCAATATGCAGGAACATCTTTTGAATATTAAAAACTTTGTTTATTCTTTGAGTATTCTTAAAATAATGTGATGCTATTTTAGCAAAATTCCTAATTGTATATCTTAAGAGTAGTTATCTTAAGTGTGAGTTTTACGTTCTAGATATTTGATTAAGTGTGTCATATCTTAATTAAATTCAAGATTCAAACCCCAAGTGAGGATAAGAGTGTGTAATATCTCTTAAACACCAACTTGGTTTATCCATCCCTGATTTTCTTCCATTTCATATCTCCCCATTTCTCCTCTTAACCTTACACTTTTCTTCCACTAAAAACACCCAAAAGAACTTTATCATCCCCATATTTTCCAGCCATTTCCCCACACAAACACCATTTTTTTCTACCCAGATTTTAGCCCTAGTAACTTTGATAATCGATTATCAAACACAGATAATCGACTATCAAACCCTTCGGAAGACTCTTGGCATAATTAGCAAAGCCCAATAATCGATTATCACTTTAGTGACAATAGACTATCTGCTCCTTCTAAAAATCCTTTGGGATGAAAGTAAAATCAAGATACTTGATTATCAAGAAGAGACAATCCACTATCACAAGCTCTTGAAGTTTAAAGGTTTTCCAAGTTTTGCTTCCAATTCCTCCGTATTTCTGCCCTCAAATTACTTACATGATTAGACCCCCAGTTCGGGTATAACATTTGGTATAAGAGCTTGTTGTTAACATCTCTAAGAGGACCATACACACTTCCCTCTCCCTTTTCTCTTATCCAAACCACATCACCTTAAAACTCACAAATCAGCTCAACCAGACACCATCTCATATCCCTCTCAAAACATGTCCCATGGAGAACTTGTGGCTTCAAATGCAGCCCTGCAAGCTCAATTTGATTATTTAGCCAAACAATAGCCAAGCTTACTAAATAAAAGCTAGCTATGTTGCAATCAAGTGATGAAGAAGAAGAATCTAGTTCTAGTGCCACCATAAGAACTAAAGCTCAAGACAAGTCCGGCTCTGATTTCAAAGTGGATATCCCCATCTTTGAAGGAAAGATTGACCCAAATGAATTTCTTGAATGGTTAGAAACATTGGAAAGAGTCTTTGATTTCAAAGAAGTTTCCGACGGAAAAAGGTCAAGATTGTGGGCTTGAAGTTTCGGAAGTATGCATTTACTTGGTGGACGAATGTCAACACCAAGAGGATTCAAGAAGAGAAACCCCTGGTTGATACCTGGAAAAAGATGAGAACTCTATTGAATAAGAAGTTCTTACCTATTGAATATGTACGTGAGAATTTTGCTAGGCTTCAAACACTTAGGCAAGGTTCAAAATCCATCAAAGATAACACCCGGGAATTAGAAGAACTCCTGCTAAGGTGCAATCTGCAGGAGAATGAAGAACAAACCTTCGTAATGTATCTTTTTCGCTTAAACACTCAAATAGCCAACACGGTGGAATTACAAGGTTACAACACTTTTGAATAGCTCACTAAATTAGCTCTTAAACTTGAATCCCAAATCAGGATGTCCAAAACCATTTTCTCCCGAACCACCTCCTCTTACTCAAAGCCAACCGACACTCCACCAAAATTCACCTCTACTACCCACTGCCTACCCCAAAACTCCAAAACCATATCACCTTCCAAATCATCTTCCACTCCTTTTCCACCGAAAACATGTTGGGAAACGAGGCTTGGATAACGCAGCGGAAAACAAAAATTTAGAGTCCAAAACTCGATTCCACCCAGGAACAACTTACATAAATTACTAGCTATAGTAAGAAATTTACCTTAACGGTGAAAAAGGATAACGGAGAAATGGTCGGGGATGGTTTTGAGGAGATGAACGTAGCGCCAAACGTATGAAGCCTCCAACGTATCCATACAAACTTGCTCCGGAGTCCTAGATTAAACTTGTGCTAGCAAGTTTAATATAGGATAGTAAAAACTATAATAATACTACTTTGGGGATTAATAAATATATAGTAAAAATATTTATCTTATAAATATTTATTTATAATATTTTGTGTGTATTTCCACCACTTTAGAAAAATAACTTTGAACACAAAAGAAATTTTTCTTTTCACTTATTTGTGATGGCTGAATGTATTGAGCAAAAAAGGGGAGGGATTATATTTCATTTTATAAAACAAAAATTAATGTAAAGACCCATGGAGCTTCCTTGAGACATTAAGGTGTGATAATGAGGTTATCAAAATATAATGTCTCTAACCACCATAACAAAACAAAATAGAATCCCTACATCAAATAATAATCAAATATATCATTTTGACATTAAAAAATACTTTATGTATAAAATCAAAATGGTCTTGGATTTTTCCTCTTAAAATTGGCACTCCCATTAAAAATTGTACATCATATTTTATTTTGACATCAATAATTATCATATAATTAAAATGATGAAAATAAAAAAAAATGTGTGTGTGTGTGTGTGTGTGTGTATGTTTCGGTGAGAATGGAATCTAGTGAAAGAAATAAGAATGGTTTTGAACCGTTAGATGCAGTCTTGTGATGATATTATATCCGCCACTTTCAATGGGTAAATATGTATTTTCCACTAGATGGCATTTCTCTCTCTCAATCACCGCTTCCATCCTTGCGATATCATCGCATGAAGTTTTCCTATTCATTCCAAATTGTTTCTAGATTTTCCTCCATCACGATCTCATATCATTTCTCGTATCAATCTTAAATCGGGTTTATATATATTCCCAAAATCTTTCTGAATGCCCTAATTTCTGATTTTGGTGTTCCAATTGTTTCAATGATCGGATCTTGAGGTTTGACTTTCCAATTGCCACTCAATTTGGTGGTCAAAAACTCCAAATTCTTCTTGGTACATCCGTATGTGCATAGAGGTTTAAATTTTGAATCTTCTTTTGCTGTATCTAATCATTCCATTATTTTGTTTAAAAATACAAGATTTCGAATTACAGAGTAATTTCCTATAGTTAATTGTGTTTGTTGTTAATTTTCATTTTGATATGCTTGAATGAATTAGAACGAGGCATCATTTACGTTGGCTTTTTTGTTTTTTAGTGTGCATCAAATGAAACGCATGATGCATTACTGCCAATTTTTAATTTCGATTATATATGGAGAAAATTATATTAAATTGACCTCTTGCAAATTGTTCTTGCATTTTGAAGTCTCTGTCTTGCATATCTTTGTCCTCTTTCATATTCAGTAAAAAATTTAACCTTTCATATTGTATACGCAACTACCACATCAGGTCGCCTTTTTATTGCACAAATTTATTTAAAGTATGCATATATGAGGTCTATGTCTAACGCCCCGAAATCTGGCCCAAAAGAATTAATTAAATTCGTTAGATCAATTGATTACGAATTGGGCCTAAAAAGGGGGTTAAAATTATAATTTGGATTTTAAGACCAACTTTTATGTCATCTCGTAGGAAATATTTTTGTGATCACGTCAGTTCAAACAGCTCGCGAATCAGAGTTATGGAGCTCATGTGATGGCCGTTTAATCAGGTATTTTGGGCCCGGAGCCCAAACCACTAGTATTGGGATTAATAAGTAAAACCTAAACATATTAATATTAAAATAAGGCATATAACGTACGCGTCTTCCGTTCGGATCTGAGAGCCGCACGACCTGGATCTTCATCTTCATCTTCATCTTCGTCTTCATCGTTTTCGATCGCCGCCATAAGCCAGTTGCCGGTCGCCGGTCGTCGTCCTTCCCCAGCACAGCTAGTCGCCGCTACTTCCCCTTCGCCAGAAGTCCGTCGCTCACTGCCAGGGTCAGCGCCGCCGACCACGGTTCCCAATCCTCGTGCTGCCGTTCGTCGCCTCCACTACCGGCGTCTGCCATCCTCGCCGTCGAGTTGCAGCGCCGCCACGCCGAACGCTGGTCACCGCCAATTGCCTCCAGCCGCCGTCGCCCTTAGCACAGCTCCCGCTCTGCCACTGTACGCCGGCGCCCGCCACTGTCGCCGCATCCAGCTGCTGCCCCGGATTGATACCGCCGGCAGATTAATCTCCACGCCAGATTATTTGTTCGATTCTGTGTTTTGACTCAATTTGACCCGTTGTTCGTTCGATTTCGTTGATTTGCCTTCCGTTCGAGCTATTGATTCAATTTCTACGTAATCCAGGTCCGTACTATGAAGTGAATAGCGTTTAGAATAGATCTAATGGTTCGGATCGTTATATATGTTTATGCTATAATTTGGCTAACTTGGTTAATTGAATTAAATTGATTATTTGAATTGAATTGTTGAGGATTATGAATTGACTGAACAGGTTTTGACTTTGACTTGGGTTAGGTCCTGTTTGACTTAGGCTTTGACTGGATATTCCGTTGACGTAGGTTTGACCTAATGGTTAAATCAAAGAACTTTAATGAATTAATTAAGTTAATTAATTAATTCTAAACAGTAATTAGGATCAATTGGTTTAATATGTCGAACATAGAAACTTGCCATTGCTCGGGCGGCTGCAGGGCCTGGTTAGTGAGGTTAAGACGTGCGCACGAGGGTCTGTGATCTTGGGTTTGAGGCTATCGCCCGAGGGATCCTACCTCCACCGAATTGAGGATATCTTCGGTATTACGGATTGAGGCTATCTCCATCATATGCAATAAATGTTAAGTGGTTTGACTTTCGTGAAAGTGTAATTTGGTTTGACCGGTGGTCAAAGAGTTAATGAGGAATTCATAACATCTAAATTGTTTTGAAAAGAAAGAAAATAAGTTGACCGTTGGTCAACCGTCTAAAGAACCGAATTTAAAGTTAAATTGATTTTTATTAAAAGGATAAACATATGCATGATCTTAATTATTGAATTATTATGTTTATTCTTGTGCTACAATGGAGTGCCACTCAGTGTCAATGCTGAGCGGATAGCGTTGTTTTCCTTTTTGCTGTCCGTAGGTGATCAGACAGATGAACCTAGAGTCGATGCTGGAGGGCATTGAGGAGGAGATGTACGATGGCATGGCTGTCTCTTTAATCTGTAGTTATGCTTTATTTAATTAACTTTAATGCTTATTACGTTTTCGGGCAAGATCCCAAGTTGTTTGACTTTAAAAGGCTTCTGCATTATTTTAAATTACTCCGATGGATTTTTATAAGTATTGATAGAATGTTTGTTTTAAATTGTTTTGAAAATGTTGTATTTTCGGATACCAATCCTGTGGCACACTGGTCCGCTGTCTCACGGGTTCGGGTTACGCGGGTTGGGGTGTTACATTTTGGTATCGGAGCATTTGGTTTTAAAATCGGTCTTTGGACCCTTTCAAAATAAAATACAATGAATAATTCAGCCACATCTGCATCTCACGTAACTCCTCTGCCCCGGGAAGGTAATAAGTATTTATAGCTTTATCTGTTATATGTTAAGATCTGACTTGGGAATTTCCTTATTATTTTACAATGAGTCAAGAATCGACCCATGGTCAGTACGTTCCGGAGCTGGAGCACGTGAGCGTGCACACGGTGAACACCGAGGGTTCGATTTTCACGCCTCCGGGTGACGGAGGGCAGCAACAGAATCAACCTGAGCCAGCGGGACAGCCGCTAGTTGTACCACCCCCAGTCGTACCACCTCCAATGATGCCACCGTTGGCGATACCGCAGGTGGCCTACGAGCAGATGTTCCCAGCCATGATGGCCCATTATATGGAGCACATGAGCTTATGCCCATGTTCCAGCCACTGCCACCACCACAGCCGCAGCCGCGCATCGTTACCTTCAAGACATTGAAGGATAACGGAGCGGAAGAGTTTCGAGGAGACAAGATGGGGGAGCCCCATATTGCGTTAGATGTTCCCTGATGCAGATCGCTCGGAGTTGGCGTCACAGATGTTTCGGAAGGGAGCATATGATTGGTGGAAGCGCATTGACCAAGATCCACACACGCCCAAGCCTTGGACCTGGGATCGCTTTGATCGAGCTTTCACGAAGGAGTACGTCCCCACCCGGTACCGCGAGGAGAGGCGCGATGAGTTCGTTGCGCTTAAGCAGGAGGGGATGTCATTGCCTGAACTGAGACAGAAGTTCGACTACCTGTCCCAGTATGCGACGAGTCTGGTCTCCACTCCGGAGGATCGTTTGAATGAGTTCGTCAAGAAGCTACGGCCGGACTTGAGGCCGTATGCTGCGCTGATCACGACGACAGATTTTAATGCGGCGTATGATTTGATAGTGAGGATGGAAAAGAGCTTGGATGATTTGCAGGCGACCAATAAGGAGGATCGAGCGACGAAAGACCCGCGACTCGCGGCCAGCGCCGGGCCGAGCGGGAAGAGTTTTGGATTCGGGGGAAAGAGGTACGAGAAGGGATCTTCGAGTGCGCCGCCGCCTAAGAGGAGTAAGTCGAAGCCATCTCCGTCGGCCGCCGCTAGCAACGCGATCAGAACGAAGAGCCACACGCAGTGTGTACAGTGTGGTAGGCATCACCCGGGCGAGTGTTGGCTCGCCCAAGGCTTATGTTTGGGTTGTGGTCAGCCAGGGCATTTCAAGAGGCATTGCCCGACAAACCCTAGCAGCGAGCCTGTTTTTCTTATAGCTCCGGATCAGCCTGCCGCATCGCATCCAGCACGGAGTCAGCAGTCTACAGCCGCAAATAATCAGCAGAGACCACAACCGCAGCAGACAGGCTGTGCACCAGCGCGTACCTATGCCATGCAAGGGTGCACAGATTCTAATCTCGATGTTATCTTGGGTACGTTCATACTATTTGATTCGGTTATGCATGCCTTGATCGATCCGGGTTCCACGCTCTCCTATATCTGTGTTGACATGCCTGCTAATTCTGCGATCGTGAGGAGTGACCTTGAGATACCTACCGTCGTATCGAATCCGCTAGGACATAGCATGCGTCTTCATCACATTTATCATAGGTGTCCGTTGTCCGTGCAAGAGAAGCAATTCCCTGCAGATTTGATAGAGCTACCACACAAGGAGTTTGACATTATCCTTGGTATGGATTGGCTCACCGAGTATAGAGCAGTGGTCGACTGCAGTAGTCGGACCGTATGGCTGAGAGCCGATGACGGTAGCGACGTGTCACTCTCCGGGGAGGTGTTCCCCAAGGCTCCTGAGTTTATATCGTCCATGAGCGCGAGGCGCTTGATTCGCAAGAAGTGCGAGATGTTCCTGTGTCACGTTCAGGATATGCGGAAAGAATCACCACGTCAGCAGGACATCCCTACATTTTGCGACTTCCCCGACGTCTTTCCTGAAGACCTTCCTGGTTTGCCTCCGCCGAGAGAGGTAGAGTTCTCGATCAATCTCATTCCGGGTACGGAACCCATATCTGCTACACCGTATCGTATAGCACCTGCCGAGATGAAGAAGTTGAAGGCTCAGTTGCAAGAGCTACTGGAAAAGGGATTCATCCGACCTAGCATTTCCCCATGGGGAGCACCGGTGTTATTTGTTCGAAAGAAGGATGGATCCATGAGACTTTGCATCAACTACAGGCAGTTGAACAAAGCCACAGTGAAGAATCGTTATCCGTTGCCTCGCATCGACGACCTATTCGACCAGCTCAGAGGGGCTACAGTATTCTCGAAGATCGATCTGCGTTCTGGATACCATCAGATTTCCGTTAAGAGAGAAGACATTCCGAAGACTGCTTTTAGCACACGCTATGGGCATTATGAGTTCTCAGTCATGCCTTTCGGATTGACTAATGCCCCGGCAGTGTTCATGGAGCTTGTGAATAGTGTGTTCCGACCATACTTGGACCAGTTCGTAGTAGTGTTCATCGATGACATCTTGGGTTATTCACGGACTCAAGAGGACCATGCTAGACATTTGCAATTGGTTTTGAGTGTGTTGAGGGAGCACAAGCTGTATGCAAAATTGTCTAAGTGTGAATTCTGGTTGAGTGAGGTGACGTTCTTAGGACATCTTATCTCTGCCACCAGTATCCAGGTAGACCCCACCAAGATTTCAGCCATAGTGGATTGGAAGACTCCGCGGAATGTTCGTGAGGTGAGGAGCTTTCTTGGGTTAGCCGGTTACTATCGTCGATTTGTTAAGGGCTTCGCCTCGATCGCTACTCCATTGAACAAGCTACTGCGGAAGGACATAATATTCGAGTGCTCAGAAGCGTGCCAGCGCAGTTTTGATCAACTAAAGGAGTGCATGACCCAGGCACCAGTCTTGACTCAACCTACTCCTGGCATCGAGTATACCATCTATAGTGACAAATCTCATAGCGGCTTAGGTTGTGCACTGATGCATTTGAGTAAAGTAGTGGCCTACGCATCGAGACAGTTGAAGACTCACAAGGAGAACTACCCGACACATGATTTAGAGTTGGCAGCCGTGGTGTTTGCCCTGAAGATTTGGCGCCACTACATCTTTGGAGAGAGGATTCACATCTTCACCGATCACAAGAGTTTGAGGTACCTACTCACCCAGAAGGAACTGAATCTTAGACAACGTCGATGGTTGGAGCTGATCAAGGATTACGATTTAGTCATTAAGTATCACCCGGGCAAGGCTAACATCGTGGCCGATGCTTTGAGCAGAAAATCGTTAGCCGAGCTACAGCTTCAGTCTACGTTAGAGCAGGAGATCCGTACAGCACAAAGAGATGATGAGTTTTGTCAGAAGACTCGAGAGTTAGTTCCTATAGGAAAGAGGCCCAAGTTCGCAATTCGCGATGACGAAGTCTTGTACTATCGTGAACACCTAGTGGTGCCCCGCGGTGGAGTGAGGGATCGCTTGTTGCGCGAGGCTCACGGAACCGTATACACTATGCACCCGGGTAGTAACAAGATGTATCAGGATTTGAAGAAATCCTATAGGTGGCCAGCTATGAAAAAGGAAATCTCCGAGTTCACTGCGCGCTGTTTGACTTCTCAGCAAGTCAAGGCTGAGCACTAGGTTCCGACAGGGTTGCTTCACCCTCCTACCATTCCGGAATGGAAGTGGGAAAGGATCACTATGGACTTTGTGATCGGATTGCCATGATCTTCACGAAAGAATGACGCCATCTGGGTCATTGTTGACAGGTTCACAAAGTCCGCTCATTTTCTACCCGTCAGACGTGACTCCTCCATGGACAAATTGGCAGACTTATACGTTAGAGAGATAGTTCGGTTGCATGGTGCACCGCTATCGATCATATCTGATAGAGATCCCCGGTTCACTTCGATGTTCTGGAGAGGACTCCAGAAGGCTTTTGGCACAGCTTTGAACCTTAGTATGGCATGTCACCCTCAGACCGATGGCCAGTCTGAGAGGGTGATACAGATTGTCGAGGATATGATGCGAGCTTGTGTGATCGACTTTGGAGAAGATTGGGAGCGTTACTTGGCGTTGATGGAGTTTGCATATAATAACAGTTACCAGGCGAGTATTCAGATGGCTCCTTATGAGGCACTCTACGGCAGAAAGTGCCAAACCCCGATTTGTTGGACAGAGCTTAGCGAGAGTAAGCTCGAGGGACCAGATATTGTGCAGGATACTGAGGAGAAGGTTCGTGTGATTAGAGACCGACTCCACGCCGCTTCGGACAGACAGAAATCTTATGCAGACTTAAAGAGACGAGACATAGAGTACAATGTTGGTGACATGGTATTCTTGAAGGTTTCACCTTGGAAGAAGGTCCTACAGTTCGGGAAGAAAGGGAAGCTTAGCCCTAGATTCATTGGACCCTACCGCATTCTGGAGCGAATTGGACCTGTTGCTTACAGGCTAGAGTTGCAACCAGAGTTGAACAGGATTCACGACGTCTTTCATGTCTCCATGCTGCGTAGATACCGTTCAGATCCGACTCATGTGTTGCCGACCAATGCTATTACCCTCGATAAACGTTTGTCTTACGAAGAAGATCCAGTTAAGTTCTTGGCGCGCGAAACTAAAGTACTAATAAACAAGACGGTACCTTTGGTAAAGGTACTATGGCGTAATCATGCGGTGGAAGAAGCCACCCGGGAGACCGAAAAATCTATGCGAACTCAGTACCCTCACCTCTTCGGCGACCAATGACTCAGGTAATTTCGAGGACGAAATTCTTTTTAAGGGGGGGAGAAATGTAACGCCCCGAAAATTGGCCCAAAAGAATTAATTAATTCGTTAGATCAATTGATTACGAATTGGGCCTAAAAAGGGGGTTAAAATTATAATTTGGATTCTAAGCCCAACTTTTATGTCATCTCGTAGGAAATATTTTTGTGATCACGTCGGTTCAACTGGCTCGCGAATCGGAGTTAAGGAGCTCATGTTATGGCCGTTAATCAGGTATTTTGGGCCCGGAGCCCAAACCCACTAGTATTGGAATTAATAAGTAAAACTGAAGAAGGTCCTACGGTTCAGGTATTTACGCGTCTTCTGTTTCGGATATGAGAGCCGCACGAGGTCCTTCGTCTTCATCGTTTCCGATCGCAGCTAATCGCCGCCATAAGCCAGTCGCTGGTCCCCGTCCTTCCCCGGCACAGGTAGTCGCCGCTGCTTCCCCCTCGCCAAAAGTCCGTCGCCAACTGCCAGGGTCAGCACCGCCGACCACGGTTCCCAATCGCCAGAACCACCATCGTCCCTTCGAATTGCCGGCCAGTAACCTCGTCGTGCTGCCATTCGTCGCCTCCAGCCACCGTCGCCCTTAGCACATCTTCTTCTTCAGTTTTTTTATTTCGGTTTGTCTCTGTCCCCTCAAATTTGAACAAGATAGACCGCCAACAGCTGCCGCCCCGCCACTGTACGCCCGCCACCGTCGCCACATCCAGCTGCTGCCCCGGGTTGATACCGCCGGCAGATTAATCTCCACGCCAGATTAATTGTTCGATTCCGTGTTTTGACTCAATTTGACCCGTTGTTCGTTCGATTTCGTTGATTTGTCTTCTGTTCGAGCTATCGATTCGATTTCTACGCAATCCAGGTCCGTACTATGAAGTTAATAGCGTTTAGAATAGATCTAATGGTTCGAATCGTTATATATGTTTATGTTATAATTTGGCTAAATTGATTATTTGAATTGAATTGTTGAGGATTATGAATTGACTGAACAAGTTTGACTTTGACTTGGGTTAGGTCCTGTTTGACTTAGGCTTCGACTGGATATTCTGTTGACGAAGGTTTGACCTAATGGTTAAATTAAAGGACCTTAATGAATTAATTAAGTTAATTAATTAATTCTAAACACTAATTAGGATCCATTGGTTTAATATGTCAAACATAGAAACTGGCCATTGCTCGGGCGGCTGCAGGGCCTGGTCAGTGATGTTAAGACGTGCGCACAAGGGTCTACGATCATGGGTTTGAGGCTATCGCCCGAGGGATCCTACCTCCACCGAATTGAGGCTATCTTCGGTATTACGGATTGAGGCTATCTCCGTCATAGACAATAAATGTTAAATGGGTAGACTTTCGTGAAAGTCTAAATTGGTTTGACCGGTGGTCAAAGAGTTAATGAGGAATTCATAACATCTAAATTGTTTTGAAAAGAAAGAAAATAAGTTGACCGTTGGTCAACCGTCTAAAGAACCGAATTTAAAGTTGAATTGATTTTTATTAAAAGGATAAACATATGCGTGATCTTAATTATTGAATTATTATGTTTATTCTTGTGCTACAATGGAGTGCCACTCAGCGTCAATGCTGAGCGGATAGCGTTGTTTTCCTTTTGCTGTCCGTAGGTGATCAGACAGATGAACCTAGAGCCGATCCTGGAGGGCATTGAGGAGGAGATGTACGATGGTGTGGCTGTCTTTTTAATCTGTAGCTATGCTTTATTTAATTAACTTTAATGCTTATTACGTTTTCGGGCAAGATCCCAAGTTGTTTGACTTTAAAAGGCTTCTGCATTATTTTAAATTACTCCGATGGATTTTATAAGTATTGATAGAATGTTTGTTTTAAATTGTTTTGAATATGTTGTATGTTTGGATACCAATCTAGTGGCACACCGGTCCGCTGTCTCACGGCTTCGGATTACGCGGGTTGGGGTGTTACATGACATTTCTCTTAACCACCTCAGCAAGAGTGGCTCGGATCACAAACCAATCCTCCTAAAATGTGTTATCAACTCCTTCAAAGGGCCCAAAATGTTCAGATTTCTTAATTGATGGGTTTCTCATGAAACCTTCATTCCTATGGTAAAATTGCAATGGGAAAAGTCCAACAATGTGAATGGTATGTCAGGCTTTGCAGAGAAACTCAAGACACTAAAATCAGTTATTAAGGTGTGGAATGTCTCAACTTTTGGAGATATCTTTGAAAATGTTAAAAGAGCTGAAGAATAGGCACTTGTTAGGCAATTATCTTTTGATGATAACCCAACGGAAGAGAATCGTGCTGCTGCTAACCTGGCATCAGCCAAACTGCTTAATGCCTGCAAGAGGGAGGCTAGTTACTGGTCCCAAAAGTCTAACATCCAATGGATGAAGGAAGGAGATTCCAATACTAAATTCTTCCACTCGGTGGCCAAACGGAAGAGAGATAAACTCAAGATCACAACTATAAAAGATTAGGAGGGAGTGAACCACATTGTGGAGAACAAAATCGCTTTCTTGGTTGTTGAGCACTTCACCAGGCTTTTTGAGGAGAGCCCCTGTAAAGCTCCCAAGGAAACTCTGAGATACATTCCTTGTACAGTTACTGCCGAAGACACCATCTCTTTAAAGATGCTCCCTTCTATGGAAGAAGTGAAGCAAGTAGTGTTGTCGCTGAATGATAGTGCTGCTCCAGGCCCTGATGGTTTTAATGGTTTTTTTCTTCAGGGCCTATTGGGATATTATTAATCTTGATCTCCTTAAGGCATGTCAGGAATTCTTCATTGGAGTTAAGGTTCCGGTTGCTTATGCTAGCACCATTATCACCTTAATTCCCAAGATAAACAGCCCGATAAAATGGAAAGATTATAGGCCAATTTCCTTATCAACTTTCATGAGTAAGATTAACTCTCGTATTCTGGAAACGTGACTTAGCACAATCATCAACAAAGACATAGGGCAACAGCAAGCTGGATTTCAGCACGGGAAAATCAGTTGATGATCAGATTTTATTGGCTCAAGAGATGGCACACCATCTTGATCGTAAGGTAGAAGGTGGTAACATCATAATTAAGATAGATATGGCGAATGCTTTCAACAGAATGAGCTGGACTTTATTGGAGGCTGTTTTGAGAGAAATGGGTTTTTGTGAGGATTTCTCAAACCTTCTACTTTCTAACCTCAAGGCAACTAAAATGTCCATCTTATTCAATGGATCACCTAAAGGGTTCTTTAGTAACAAAAGGGGTGTTAAGCAAGGTGATCCACTCTCTCTGCTTCTATTCATTATTGGCAGCGAGGCTTTAAAAAAATCCATCATCCACATTATACAAAGCCAATATATCAAGCCTTTTAACCACGGGAGAGGCCCTATTATTACCCATCTCAGCTATGCAGATGACTTGGTGGTTTTCTTGAATGCTAAACCTCGTAACCTCCTGCGTTTTATGTCTATCCTTAAAGAATATATGGTTGTCTCTAGACAACACATTAACTGGAATAAATCAAGATTTTTTATGGGCTCCAAGGCATCTCTTTCCCATAGAGAAATAGCAAAAGAGGCCCTTAACATGCAAGAGGGTAAGCTCCCTTTCACATATCTTGGAGGTTACATCACCAAACTGATGTAGATACCGCTTGTCACTTGTAGTATTTTAATACTATGGCCAATGTTATGGGTAACGTAGAAGAGGGTCACACACATAGAGCATTTGATGGTGTAAAGGAAAATATTTAGTCAAATATATTATACATATTGTGTGTAACACAATATTGTAAAATATATATTTGGACATTTTAATTATATGATAATTAAGTTTGTCAAAATATGTTACACTAAATATTGTTTGTTATATATATATATATATATATATATATATATATATATATATATATATATATATATATATATATATATATATATATATATATATATATATATATATATATATATATATATATATATATATATATATATATATATATATATATATATATATATATATATATATATATATATATATATATATATAT